GTTAATCGTGAGCAAATCATATGGACTGTCGAGCTCCATCCTTCAAACAAAAGACGGGTCTTACCTGGGAGGAGTTCGAAGCCCAATCAGCCTCGACCGAGCCCAGAAGTAAGTAAGAAACGCGGATTACTCTCACTTTGACCCGATGGGGTTGAGGCTTGAGGAAGCCATGGCAGGTAGGCAGTTGCTGTGTACGGCTGTCCGTACTATATCATTTATGAGACAGTGGCTCAGCACAGTACCGGTGGTTCTAGGGCATGTTCGAGGAGCTGGTAATCCTTCTGACTGTGCATCTCGAGCGCTGTACCCGAATTCGTATGATTCGGGCCTCTATCGAGCCGCGATATCGACATACGTGAAGGAGTTCGATGGTATGCGAGAGCGCTTGGTATCTCCGAATGCTGATGACGATCTCGGTAACGGCTCGCTCGACGCTATGATGTTGAATGCTAAAGATGGTCCTGTTGAGAACGTCGAAGACAGTAATGTTGTCAGTGTCGAGGAGCAAGTGTTGACGGCTCAGACCAACGACCAATATTGCGAACAGATTAGAAGGGTCCTAGCTCATGAGCCGGTGGAGCTTTCCACTTCTGAAGCTCAGCGTATTCGTCGGACGTATGTCGTTGACTCGGGTGGCAATATCTGTAGATGTCATGCGATCTGTGGCAGCCAGTATTTCGTCCCGATAGCCTCTCGTTCGGTCGTGATCAGTATGTTGCACGATTTGTACGCTCACCTGGGGGCTAACAAGCTGCTTGTTGCATCTTTCGTTGCGCCAATTAATTGCTGCCAATGATGCTGAAGATACCGACTGGGCTCAGTTTCTTCCTCAGGCAGTGTGGGTGTGTAATAACGCCACCTTGCCGCTTGCCAGTGTGGATGGGGAACGATTCACCCCATGTGATCTGGTTCGGCTATGTGGTTCCTCACCTCCCCCTACGTGGAGGCCTACTAACGAGATGACGGATGAGCTGAAAGCTTACTTGGAGCGACACTATGTTGATGCAGGCCCATCTCGCACCGCGTTGCATATGCGTCAAGCTCGCCAAGTTGAAGCTGCTAGGTTATTTAAGGAGTATCTCCGCGCTTGGGATGTGCATCGGTTACGCCTACTCGATAACTTAGATGCCTCCAAGAGATGTCGTCAGCCGGTGGGGGACGCAATAGTTTGCGGTGACATTGTCCGTGTATATCGTCCATCTGCCAAGCTTACTATGTCGTGGTCCTCCCGCTTGTACAAAGTTATGGAGATTCGTGCTCAGATAGCCAGGCTGAGGCCTGAGTGTGCCAAGGCTGGACAGGCAGATGAGGTCCAGTATGTCTTCAATCTCACTCGTGCTACCGATGTTGATCCGGAGGAGGTAGCCGACAAGTTCGCTGAAGCCCCTCTCCTGCCGAGAAGTCGCGTTTGGACACCGGCTGTTCCCCCGGTGCCCGCTCCAAAAGACCCTCAACAGTCAGCCGATCGTGCGGCTAGGGTTGCTCGGAGGGATGCTCTACGCAATTCTACAGGGGGCGGAGAATGCTGATGCTATCGCGCTGTCTCTTATTTCTA